AAAAAATATCATGTATGGATTTTATGCGTATATTATGATGGTGCGTGAAATTGATTATAACCTCTTAGCCCGGTGTAGACAATTATTTCATCAATTTTTGGTAGACATATATGTGAAGGTAGAAAGTGAACGTCTCCGTTATATGAATATCTTCAAATCAAAAAAAGCTGCGCGTTGATAATTATATACATTTACAAGATGCAGTTTCTAGTGACGCCAATGTAGACCCCAGAGATTTAGGTAAAATGGTAATTCTGCCCTCATCATTCGTTTACAGTTCCCGCTACCTACATGAGTACACACAAGACGCATTCGCCTATGTAGGAACTTACGGAAGACCTGATCTTTTTGTTACTTTTACTTGCAATCCCATATGGAATGAAAAAATCGTGGAGATAATGCCGGGCCACAAAAGTACTGACAGACACCATTTAGTTTCTAGAGTATTTGGATTAAAAGTACAAAAATTAATGTATGTAATTAACAAAGAGAAAATTTTCGGAGAGGTGCAATTCTTCGTGTATTCAATTGAATGGCAAAAAAGAGGATTACCACATGCCCACATTCTAATATGGCTTAAAGAGAAGTTGCGGCCCAGCCAAATAGACGACATAATAAGCGCCGAGATTCCGGATCCTGAGCAAGATAAATAATTGTATGATACCATCGTCCGACATATGATTCACGTTCCACGTGGAGCACGAAAGTCAATATCGCCATGTATGAAAGAAGGAAAATGTACAAAGAAATTCCCTAAACAGCTATTAAAAGAAACAGTGCACAATGACAATGGCTACTCTTTATTTACAGACGCAGAGCTCCCGAAGATGGTGGCAGGAAATTTACAATCAAATCTCGCTCTGGAGCGTTCGAAACCTTAGATAACAGCTGGATTGTCCCGTATTCGCCCATTCTATGTAAAATGTTTAATGCCCACATTAATGAAGAAGCATGTAGCTCTGTCCGCGCAATCAAGTATATCTGTAAGTACATAAATAAAGGAAGCGACCAAGCAATATTTAATCTCAGGAGTGAAGGTGAGGCAAATCCCGTTAATGAAGTACAGACCTTTCAAGCAGGGAGTTATGTCAGCAGTATCGATGTAGAGTGGCGTCTCCTAGGCTTCCCTTTACACTAAATGCACCCAACAGTTACTCACCTTGCTGTGCACTTCGAAAATGGAGAGCGTGTATATTTCACCGAAAGAAATTTCCAAGAAAGAATTGCATCACCGCCAAAAACTACACTAACAGCCTTCCTTCAACTTTTTCACACCGACTCCTTTGTAAAACGGCAAACGATACAGGTAGCGAGGGTCAACTTAGAAAAACCGTGCTTCTCTCATGGTCAGCTGTATGTAACATGTTCGCGTGTGTCAAATGCACAGAATCTCCACATTCTTTCCCCGAATGGATTAACATATAACATTGTGTACAGTAGCGTCTTAAAATAGTGTTTAGTTAGTTTTTTTTTCCAAAATTCCCACAATCAATTATTCAGAATTCAAATCTATAAAACTCGGTTTTCTTTCAATTCAAAAAGCAATGGATATTTCATTTCCCAGTGACCATGCGGGCAAAGCCGCGGGTAACAGCTAGTATGTAGATAAAAAATATTTAACTTAGTTAATTTTGTCCAGTCGTTTTTCGAAATTTTGATCACATATTGTTTTTTTCCCCAGACTTACGACGACAAAAATTTTACTGACCTGTTTTGATACTAATACTTGTAAAAAAATTACAAAAAAGCATCAGTTTTTATCATTAGTGTTATCTTTTAATATTAACCCGCTTTTTTCTTGTATTGATGCAGTTTAAAAATAATGTATTGAATTGAGAGCGGGTATCGTACCTTGTAAAGTCGACAGAAAAACGCAATTTCTCAGTCTCAGTCTATTTAGGGAGTGAAGTAAGAATATTGAAGTTACAGATTGTATCACGCCCACAACTAAGTTTTCTATCATTTCAAAAGGAAATATTATCGAAGTTAATAATTAATATGAATTACTTGTTTTTTGTTTAGCTTTCTTATTTTTACTTATAAGATATAATTAGAGGGAAGTACAGTCGACACTGATTCTGTCTGTCTCTACCTGGGTGCTACAATCTCCTAAGAATTCTATAACTTAAAAAAACCAAACCCGAGTACTGCAAGACTTCAAGATAAATTGAGCTAACGCTCTTTAAGTCAAACCAAACTTTTAACCATGACATCAAGACGTCAAACAATAAAATGAATTCCCTGTATCTAAAAATTTTATGCAGAAAGTTGTTACATAAATATAATTTTTGATTGTTATTACAAAAAACTTAGTACACCCCAATAAAATTATACATGTAATATATGCTGTAAACTGTAATCATCTGTTAGCAAAGCATTTGTATTGTTTCGTTGGTACACGGCTGAAAATTTTAACCCTTCGATCCCCATAAAAAATCCATGTAGTTGCATGCGTCCAGCAAATCCTGAGCGATCGCTTGCGACCGCACCCACCCACAGCACTTTAAACCATTAAAACTTATATTTAGAGACTACTAAGTTAGGGTTTACTTCACTACAAAAAGATTTTATAGTATTTTGTAGTCAGTATGAAATAAACGTAGATTATTAATAAATATCCATAGACAAAATGACTTTATATTCCACTAGAAGATAGAAAATTTCATATTGATTCTATAAAGCTAAACTTCTTCATTGAAACGTTGTCTCTAAACATAAGTATTTATGGGTTAAAGTGCTGTGTGTGGGTGCAGTCACGTTTGACCACTTGAATTTTGACAGATTATCGAAGCGGTCAAAGAGACAATCTAAAATTGTATGAAGTGCAGACCTGGTTTTGTACAAGTAGCGAAATAAATTAAAATAATATGTTATACCACTTTTATTCTTTCAAACCCACGAATTTGCCTTTATTTCAGTGGCATTAATGTCTTATTCTTGCCAAAAACTGCAACACTTATGGAGAATTGAAGTAGTTTTGACGTTAGCTGTCAACTTTCATGAGGTTATTGATCAATTTATTGATCTTTTTATAACTGGCTTTCCGGCTCTGAGTTCTAGCCCTTTTGAGCATGATATTTATTGACAAATTTTTGAATTCTGAAATGCTGTGTTATTCTTATCACTGTTACCATATCAGGTAGATTTACTATGTGCAATGGCTAAAATGTCTCAAACTAGTACAAAGGGAGGTCAAAAAGGTTGTATTTTCTGATAAAACACGTATAAAGTGTATTATGATCGGCGAAGTGCTATTTTGGTCTCAGAACAAGTAAAGTTCATATTGATGTTTGCATATCAATATCAATGCAATACAAGACGAAACAAATTATTGTAAAAGTTTTAAATAATTGCAGACAAGAAGATTGTTCATATAAATCATCAATCATATTTAGTACCAGAGGGTAACTCAGTTTTTCTACCCTTGAAAATCTACCCTGAGATGTATACTAATTTATTGCACTAATAATACATAATTTATTTAACTTTAGGATGGCCGTTTTAGGATGAATAAACTAAATAACCCTGAATACTAATTTCTGTTTAGGTATATTATGTTTCTATATGGGCTGCAGGATGAAGTTAAAAGTGCTAAGGTACAATAATATAACAGGCTTTCAACGTGTCAAAGTTACGCCTTGAACCTTGACAGACATTTAAAGCCTGGATAATGTCAAAGGCTAACAACAGTCTTATGAAGTATAAAAAGTAAAGCATAAAAGTTTTTGAGTGGATACTTAAGGTAATATTGATAAAATAGATTTATTAACTTATTAATTATTTATTGGTTTTTATTTCGGTGCAGTTATGGAATTTTGATACCGAGCCCATGTATATATGTGGGCACAGCAACCCACTGTCCGTTGTCCGGAAATGCAACTGCAATAATAACCTGCAATAATCTCATTCCAACTTGTTCTTTGTATCGCCAACAGTATATATGTATAATATACGCTGCCCGAGTGATGGCGAGACTTTATACGGCCTTTTATTAACCCTCAAGCTCGCAAGGTCAAAGGAATTTTGATATTTCTGAGATCGCGAAAAAAATGGCAAAATTGCTATTGTATTGCTATTAAAGTAAAATTAAATAGTTTTTATAAGTTATAAATTAGAAGACATTCATAAATTACCCTTTCAAAGTATAGTAGTAGTAGATACTTTACTTTTGTCACGAAAATCCTAATAAAATAATTTGTATACGTTTGTTTTTTTTTGAGAAATCTAAATAAAAATGTTTGGAAATATGTATATTTTATGTATTATGTGTTTTTATTCGTTACTCATACCAAAAAATTAAAAAAAATCTGAAAATCATTTTTTTGTATAAATTTCGAAACAATATTTCAAAAAATTTTTGTGTGTATTTGATATAAATACAACTTCGAGTTATTTGAAATATGTTATAAAATTATTTTTTATTTACATTTTCCACTAAAAATAAAAGACAATGGAAAAATCAACACATTTTTGACCCAACCGCGAAAACGAAACTTCTTGATTTCGAAGTATTTTTTGCGCTTTTTTTTTCATTTTTATGCCACAAATTATATATCTACGTGTTTGTTATATTACAAGTAATACACAAAGGTATAAAACTTACCTTTTTATTTCAAAAACATACAGAAAAACGGAGAAATTACTAAGCACTAGTTCGCGCACTACCAGCGTGAAAAGCCGTTATTTCAGAATGAATTTTTATTTTTATTTTTTGCTTGATATTGAAAGATTTTGGTATCAAATTAAAGAACATGTCTTTGTCTATGTCTGTGTTATACATTTTTTATAGTATCTTTGTTATAGTTTATAATTATAATCCTTTTTTGGACAGGAACTCGAAACCACTTGCCTCTCCCGAGTATTTATGTCGGGTACACATGTGTGCCTCTCCTGAGATCACGGCAGAGTCTTATTGGGATGGTATTTATTGGGTATCAACTTCTAGATCATTAGATATTTCCATCTGTTTTGAACCATGTTGTCTTATATGTTCCCCAAAATTAGCTTCTTGCCTGCTTAATTTGGTATATCCCCAATTCAAAAATTTTGAGATCAAACATGGTCATTACAGCAAATATTTCTAATTCTGGAAGTTGTGCGTCAATTCTAGTGAACTGGGCCCGGTATCTGTTAATCATATTGGCTACAATTAGTTCTGCCAATTCATTTGGCATATGTAACCTTTCCAGAGCACCATTTAATATCACCTGATCATCCGGCCTATTAACAATTACTGGATGGAAAGCATTAATCATAGCTGCACAAATACGCGAATCGTCCATTAGATGGGTGGCAGCTACGTTGAAGTGGTCCTGTCTGAATAATTTAGTCTCTTTTAAATCTTCTATTTACTACCTCTACTACCCATCTGCTCAAGGTCACACATCTGGATTTATTAACATTCGTTGTCGACAATTGATCTCTCCTTCTTCGCAATTCTCTGGCTTATATATTACATAGCCTAATCCTTCGAGAAAAGGAATAGAATTTCCAAAGCCTCTTTTCAAAATGAAAATGTCATTTTCCATAAAAAACAGGTGCAAATCACCACTTTCATTTTGGAATAAGGCTTTCATATTACTGGCATCAGAATCAATTGCCGGATAAGGGCCAAAAATGTCCAGGATATAGCCATCAATAGCTACCATTAAAAATAGTTTTACTATATTGCGATATTTGTGTAAGCTATATGATTTTTTCTGAAAAAAATAATTAGAGGATTTTTGTAGGTAAATATAGATCCCGTCGCATATGACAATTGGTTTCCTCTCTTCTCAGTTACTGAACAAGCCTTCAGGTATTAATAAATTCCTATTTATCAGATCATTTATAGTGATATAATTAAGCCCCAAGTGGCAGAAACAAATTTATTAAAGCTTCTCGAGCTGTTTGGAGTAACCTGCTAAGTTTAGTTTTAGTAATACCTAACAGGGAGGATATTCTTTCACGGGAGTCCCCTGTTCTTATTTTAATTAAATATGCACCTAACGCCATTTTTTGCAATTTACAACTCAATGCTGGGCTAATTTGATTTAAAATATTCAAATGATTTTCCTTATTGAGAACAGTCCATTACCTAAAGAGGCTCTCGCCGAATTCAGTAAGTTTTTCGAAGTCCAAATTATTATTGATTAAATCTTGACATAGGCTGAGGTTTAACATTGATTTTATTTGTTCCTGAGTGAAATTACTTGAGAATTTATTTGCTTCTAAAAACTCCCAATTGTAAGTAGTTCGGTGTTCAGCACAAATTCTGCAATTTTCTGTGACATATTTTTGTTGATTGCAAAATTCTCTGTCTTAAAAATCTGGCACAACTAGTCTCTCTGGGTTCGTAAAAAATGGAACGAAACAATGCCTACTAGAATTTGGTGTATGCTTATAATCATATGCCAGGATTATGGAAAGTTTTGGTGTTCCAGGCTGCACTGCCCTGCCTTCAGCAAATTCTTCTCTCTGTGCCCAGCAATCAACACATAAATGGGCATGTTCTGGTAACTGAAACAGAAAATATGTAAGTAAAGCTGACTTGTTATGAACAACGTGTTTAAAAACTAAAACTATACAAATAAACCATTGACCATAAGCGGCGATAGTCTTTGTGAATTAATAAATGACATATCTTATTAGGTATCCTTTTCGATGAAATTAGAATTGCTTACAGGACTAGGTTCAATGCACTTCTTACTTTTCTTTGCGTTCTGTGTGTGTATTAAGCAATTATATACCATATATTTACTTTAATAACAAACGTAGAGGAAAACCTGTACACGTAAGCATTCTCAATACAGATCTTAAAGGTGTGTGTAGCTTGCCAAAACTTAAACCATTCTCTTCCTGAGAAGAAATTTTGCCCAGTAGTAGACAGGCAATGGTTTAATAATGTACAATGAAAATGTGAACCAGTGATCATACATAGAAACAAACTGCTTAACTCAGAACTGTTCAAGTAAAAATAATTATTAGAATGTTTGTATATAATGTAGAAAACACCATATTTAAATTACATCAATGGGATAAATCATTTGTGCCACTATATCACTTTCAGGGCCATCATTTAAAATTCGAACGTGCCTTTGAAATAAAGACATTTTACATCACACACAGTCAGCTCTATAATGTTGATGTGAAGGTCCTGGATTTTGCTGCCCTTCCTAAACATTAGTAGCTCTGCACATACGCTGCAATCCAGCATGCATAACAGACGAATCCGCGAGAAGGAATCTGTAGGGGATTATAAAGAATATTTTAAATTATTTATTATATATAAACGCACATTACAACATTCATTACTTTGTATCTTAATTTCAAACATAGGCTTAATCGGAGGTGACCTAATTTTAATATATAATGATTAACTTTTACTTTAGTATATATTATGTTTTTCTGTGGCACCAATAATACATAAATATGTTTTATTTCGTTATTAATTTTTTAAATATTAGGTTTGTAAAATATCCTTATTAATAGTATAAATGCGAAAATGTGTTTGTTTGTCATTCCATCATGCTGTAAAAGAGTTTCGGTTTCATAGTGATTTTTTGCCTGGGCATAGTTGAGGACCTATTGGCAACTTTCTATACTGGAAAATCACAGAGTTCCCTAGCGATTTTTAAACCTAATAAAACACGAACAAAGTACGGGCAAAAGCTAGAAATTTATATTTTAAACCTTTATTTGTCAAATAATTCAAACTAGAAAAGTATTTCAAATATCTGTTCAAAACAAGTCAGTAAGTTTAATAATACGGTTGGATTATTAAAAAGACGCATTTTTACTAAGTAGGTACATATAGATTTAGAAAATACATATAATATTACCTCTCTAGGATGAATCCTAGCATAATTTCATTTCGGTCTGGCCCATCTGGTATTGAGTGCCTGCGTGTGTTGGCTAGTGACCGAAAACACCATACACATACAATTGTATTAGGTGATGGTATATATGAAACTCCTTGTCTACGTAATGTTTGTTGAGTTTCTGTCCAACAAAGATGACATACCATTGTACTTTCAGGTGTCTGTAACAATATACCTACCATACCACATAATTCCATGCTGTAGCTATATAAGTAGTATATTAATTTGTAGCACGAATGGCTCGGCTCGACTGGAACAGGACCAGGCTTTCACAGAATACCAGTATAAAATAGAAACTTAATACTGACTTATGAAACCAGAGAGGCCTTTCATTGGAAACGACGCATTCCGTCTGTCCTAACGGGTGAAAACGTATCTGCATTTCAATTCGTAATCAAGGATAGATGTGCCCACATGTCTACGGGCCACAGAAACCAATTACTATCAGGTGGATTTTGTGCTCGTTTGTTACCCTTATCCTAGAGATAAAGCCACGTGCAGCAAATAATGGGTTTGCTCGAGCGGGGATTGGCCACGCTCTTACAGAATACCAGCGCGAAATAGCAGCTTTAAGCTGCTGTGTTTCGTATAGTGACTGTAGGAACCGGAGACCATTTTTACTGAAAACGAGGCATTTTATCACAATGCTTAGGGCTGACAACGCATCTGCAATTTGATTATTAATCGAAAATGAATGTAGATGTTTTTAGGCCACAGCATCCATTTACTATTCTGTGGACTGTGTGCTCGTTTAAAACCCCAATTCTATATAGAAGAAAATAAACATTTGATACTTTTTTTACTTCTGGAATGATTAGTATTTAGATTAGTAAACCTTTAAATAAACATAAATACTAACTTGTCTTGGAAAAATCATCTCTTAATATACTGGTATTATTGCCATTAAGGCACTGAAGACCATTTTCATGATCTGTACCGACAGATAATTCATCCATTTTCATCCATCTAAAACAAAACAATCATATTTAAATACTGAAATATATAAAAACTATCATATTGGACTAGATATAGCGAAATAATCTGTAATGATTAAAGTATGTGCGTTCTTACCAATTGACCTAAATTTTCAAGAATGGTAATAATTTCTGGACCCAAATCTCCAGCAATGTAATATTGCTCATTTTTTTCTATTGCAGAAGCTCATTTTAAATAGTGCAACATGTTTTAAAAGTTGAACTGAAATATAATCACATTATGTTAATATTATGCGGTCATTATAAACTTATGGAGAAAATAATTATTTATTTTTTGATTGTTAACAGATTACACACATAAACATGTTATTCAAATGCGTTTAATAACTTATGGACATATGGACCTTTTATACATACCTGCCTAGTGATTCAAAATGTGGTTCTACAGATGTCCGATATCAAAGAAATAAAAATCTCACACAAATCATGTAGTCCATAAAACAAAAGCCGAGTCAAACAAGTACAACAGATCCAAAGTTCAAATAAAAAAAAATCAAAAAAGTAATCGAAAAGAAACACATTTACGAGTTCACAACAACTAGAACAAGCTCGGAATAAACAAAAAAATATCTGACTACCTACATTATTTCAAGACTTAAGTCACTTGTCAGACATGAAATTTGACATATAATTTTATGAGTGGAACCCATCTTGTAAAATCATCAAAAATTGGGATTGCATTTTTATTTTTAGCAAGTCATTTTGTTGGATTTATTCTCTTATTGTATTTTTAATAAAATTTCGGAATTTTTCGCTTTTTTACGGTATAGTGTACATGGACTGGGCCTGAAATGGACCGTCTCCTAAGGTCGCTTGCCGTTTGAGAGGTTAATACCCACTATCAGTAACTTAACGCTCTGTTGCTCTCAAACGCCAAAATAGATCAGTGTTTTTAACATTCAGTTTATATTTACAGAAAGCACAGACAATAGAAAGGAAGAATAAAGCGTGACTGAATAACAAAAGTGCATAGCAAACATCAAAGATTTTGTAATAACTAATGTTAGGATAGATGGGCGATACAAATGAGAAAGATCACGCACGAGAAAGTGTACGCCTATTTTTGAGCGAGAAAGGCTAGACCATTCACGTTCACTAGCTTGTATCCGCCTGGCATCATGATGGACAAAACAAATCCCGCTTGTGTTTGCTAAATCCCAAGTTTTAAATCAAATGTTAGTTTTTGATAGACGTATTTGTGACTAGATGCATAGTACCTAAATATAACTCACTGCAAAATAAAATCCTACGTTAGTATACAATTAATTCTTAGGTACGATTGAATTTTATGGCTGTGTAAATGTTGTGCTTTAGAGCTATACATTTCAATCGTACCTATGGTTGAAAATAATAAATAGAGAATACTTTCAATAACACGTTTTTCCCCATAAAGGTGCCACC